TTCACTATAAATCCTTTATATGCGTGGCATCGGGGCGGCTAGAGTCCTCTCGTCCTCTGGTTTGAGATGGCTGCCGCCTATGGGTCAGATGATTGTCTGGCAGCATTAAACAATTGGTAATTAAATATTTATATATTTTCCCCTAAACAGTGTAAAATTTTGGAATTTTTTTTTCCACGAAAATGCATTGTCACGCAAAACGAGTCTGTGTGCAAAATGTCAGCTCGATTGGATCACGGGAAGTGGGTTAAAAAACGACCGAAAGATTTGCACGGTCCTAAGCAAGCAAGCGAACTTAATATAAAGGATTTAAAAATAACAAAGAATATATATATTTCACACTTTAGATGTCATAATGTGAAGGGGTTTGAATGAGGAAGGGGGGGGGGGCGTGGGGGTGCGTAAGGGGGTTTGGATGAGGAGAAGGGGGAGGTAGTAGCAGCAACAGCAGCAGTAGTAGCAGCAGTAGTAGCAGCAGTAGTAGCAATCAGCTCAGTCTGATGATGAGTCCGTGGCTCAGTCTGATGATGAGTCCGTAACTCGGTCAGATGAGTCCGTAACTCAGTCAGATGAGTCTGTAACTCAGTCTGATGAGTCCGTAACTCGGTCAGATGAGTCCGTAACTCGGTCAGATGAGTCCGTAACTCGGTCAGATGAGTCCGTAACTCGGTATGATGAGTCCGTAACTCAGTCAGATGAGTCTGTAACTCAGTCTGATGAGTCCGTAACTCGGTCAGATGAGTCCATAACTCGGTCTGATGAGTCCGTAACTCGGTCAGATGAGTCCGTAACTCGGTTTCGGTAATTTGCACTGCCCTCAATCCGGAGGTAAATCTGCCCCCAAAATCGATTTTTCGTTCCAGGTTAAGTGAACGTTTCCCTTCGATTTGACGGAGGTCTGTGTGTGTGTGATGTTCTATAACTCGAGCGTGATGCGGTGATGTTGCTTTTGTGCCGATTTATTTTTTGCTTCATCGCCTTGGTTTGTGTTTTATTATTGTGTGTTGCCACTTGGGTTGACCCATGCCACTCTCTGGGCTAATGAGAATCTCATCCTGGTCTCTCGACTTCTCACCTGGTTACAGGAAAGCGACTGGAATTCACTCATCATCTCAATCTCACTCAGCCACCCACCCACCCACTCATTCACCCACCATCTCACTCACCCACCCACCATCTCACTCACCCACGTACTCATTCACCCACCATCTCACTCATTCACCCACTCATTCACCCACCATCTCACTCACCCACTCATTCACCCACCATCTCACTCACCCACCCACTCATTCACCCACCATTTCCCTCACTCACCCACTCAGCCACCCACCATCTCACTCACCCATCCACTCATTCACCCACCATCTCACTCACACACACACTCATTCACCCACCATCTCACTCATTCACCCACCATCTTACTCACTCATCCACGATCTCACTCACCCACCCACTCATTCACCCACCATCTCACCCACCCATTCATTCACCCACCATCTCATTCACCCACCATCTCACTCACCCACACACTCATTCACCCACCATCTCACTCACCCACCCACCATCTCACTCACCCACCCACCATCTCACTCACCCACATACTCATTCACCCACCATCTCACTCATTCACCCACCATCTTACTCACTCATCCACGATCTCACTCACCCACCCACTCATTCATCCACCATCTCACCCACCCATTAATTCACCCACCATCTCACTCACCCACCATCTCACTCACCCACGCACTCATTTACCCACCATCTCACTCACACACACACTCATTCACCCACCATCTCACCCACCCATTCACTCACCCACCATCTCACTCACCCACCATCTCACTCACCCATCCACTCATTCACCCACCATCTCACTCACCCATTCATTTACCCACCATCTCACTCACGCACCCACTCATTCATCCACTCATTCACCCACCATCTCACCCACCCATTCACTCACCCACCATCTCACTCACCCACTCATTCACTCATCCACCATCTCACTCACCCACTCATTCACCCACCATTTCACTCACCCACCCACCCATTCACCCACCATTTCCCTCACTCACCCACCATCTCACTTACTCATCCACTCATTCACCCACCATCTCACGCGATGGGACACGCCCAGTGTTGACCCTCCCCCCGACTTTATCGACCTCCATCGCGATGATGGGCTCGAGTCAACCAGCCCCCACCCAGGATTTGAACTCGCCAGCCGTGCGACTGCGAGCCAGCCCGCTCTGCCGCTCAGCCGCGGCGATTGACGCAGCGTCGGCGGAGATTCGCGTATTGCCTGTCTGTTGTCTGTCTGTTGTTGTTATTGTTGGTGTTATTGGTGTTGTCGCCGCGTCTGCTTGTTAACACGAGCGTGATGCACGCGCACGAGTGAGTGCGCGCGCGCGTGCGTGCGCGTGCGTGCGCGTGCGTGCGAGAGAGCAAAGCGAGATAGCATTAAAATCCCGACAGCGGCGTCGGGGACGCACGGCCCGACATCGCTCGCTCGCCGGCCCGCGTCCTTCACGTGCGCCCCCCCTCCACCTCCCGGGCCCAGCCCCCCACTCTGCCTTCTCTCTCTCTCCGCGCAGAAATCTCAACGCCGTGCGGCTCACGGCCCCCGGCGCGCCGAGGAGAGCGAGACGCGATGAGCGAGCGCGGCGCGGGTCGAGCAGGAGGAGGAGGAGGAGGCTCCGCTCGTTCATCCGGGACCGCACCGAGCGCACCGTGAAGAGGCCATTGACGAGGATCTGGAGTTCTGGCGCTTTTACAACGACGACGACGACGGTGATGATGATGATGACGGTGGTTGTGATGGCGGAGACGCTGGCGATCGTGGCGATGGAGAATGCGGCGGCGGTGGTGGTGGCGGCGGCGTTCGGCAGCTGAGCCATCACGGCTCCGATCTTTCGACTTCAGTCGGTGCAGCAACCGGCTTCGCCACTCCACCCTGACCCATCCCTCCTGCGGGAAACTTTGTCAGCCTTGTCAACCTCTCGCTCCGGCCGCGCGGCACCCACAACCAATCTCACCCCGGCACATGAGCCTTGAAGGACGTTGGAGGGGGCCACGCACGTGAGCCATGAGTCACGGCGGAACGCTCTGGGGACGTTGCGTCTCGACGCTCACTCGCCACCCGCCGGTCGAGTTCCAAGTTTGCCGGCGCGTGAAGAAGTTGACGTCGCCCGGAAGGGAACAATCGTCCCGGGGTGTTGCGTGAAGAGGGTCGGCGTGCGTTGTGTGTTGCTGTGTGTGTGTGTTGTTGTGTTGTGGGGAGCGGTGGCGCAGCGGTTAGCGCGCTGCGCTGTGAACCCCGGCGACCCGGGTTCGATGCCCCCGGCTCAAGGCCAACACCCAGTGACGATTGTCTGAACCGGTCCTGGGCCTCCCCTAGGTCGACTCAGCCTCAAATGAGTACCTGGTGCGGTGTGTAAACATCATTACTGGGGAGATAAAGGCGGTCGGGCGTGGTGCTGGCCACCCACCCCCTCGTGTTGCCGTGCCGGCCTTCGTAGGTGCTCGCTAACAGCACTTGCCCCAACAGTCTGTTAAGGCTTTACGGGGGATCTTTGTCTTTGTTGTGTGTGTGGGGGGGGGGGGGGGGGGTGCGAGCTAATCCGGCTGGCCCGGGACGATCGCGTGCCAAGCCAGGGGCCTTGTGCCCACCGCAATCCCCGTTCGTTCATTCGTTCGTTCGTTCATTCGTTCATTCGTTCGTTCGTTCGTTCGTTCATTCGTTCATTCGTTCGTTCGTTCATTCGTTCGTTCGCAGATTCCGGCAACGTTTGCCGCTCATCATCATCATCTTCTTGACTTAAAGCTTTCGTGACTGCAGGAATTCATATTCTTCGGGTCTTTCGGTAACGTGACTTTACCGAAAAACCCAAAGAATACATCATCATCATCGTCGTCATCGTCTTCATCATCATCACGGCCGTCGTTTGCTATCCGCAGCGCGTCTCCCGCACGACGCGTGGGCATCTTGGCCAAACGCTGCGTCTCCAGATCACTCACGCAAGCGGCAGAGAAGGCGGTCGCGGACCGAACCTCTCTGGGTCCGACGTACGGACAGACGGACAGGACAGACGTCCGTACGGCCGCCAGCCCGGCCGTAGACGGATCCGCTGGTCACGTGCGCCTTTGCCGAAGGATCTCCATCGACGCGCGGTTACCGAGACCGCGGCTCCCACAGCCGCCCCCCCCACCTCTCCACCCCCACGGGACCCCCCCCCCCACGTGACACGGCGGCCATGACGGGCCACGTGGCCCGGCGCGGTCACTCGGGGCCCGCGCCGCGACGCGCGAGGCCACGGAAGTAGCGGGTTCACCGCGGAGAACTCGTACCCTGGAGTGACCCCCCCCCCCCATCCCATACACATACCCCACACACCACCCCACACCACACACCCCACACACGCCACACACACCCCACCACACCCACCACTCCCCCAACACCCCCCCCACCACATCCACCACACCACACACCCTACACCCTCCACCACACCCCACATACCCCCCACACACCCCCACACACCCCTACCACACACCCTCCACACACCCCACCACACCCACCACTCCCCCTACACCCCCCCCACCACATCCACCACACCACACACCCCCCACCACACCCCACATACCCCCCCACACACCCCCACACACCCCCACCACACACCCTCCACACACCCCACCACACCCACCACTCCCCCTACACCCCCCACACACCCCACACCCCCCTACACCCCCCACACACCCCACACCACCCCCCCCACCACACCCCACACCCCCCCCCAGACGCCCCCACCACACCCAACACACACACCCCCCATACCCCCCCACCACACCCAACACACACACCCCCACACACACCACACCACACACACACCACACAAACACCCCCCCACCCACCACACACCCCACCGCGCACAAACCCCCCCCCCCCCCACAAATTCGGCGCGCGGCTGCTTCGCCGATCGACGATGATGCGCGGCTGAAGGATGACGAGCGAGGCGCAGCCATCGCTACGACGCCGCCGCCACCGCCGCCTCCACCGCCACCACCTCCACCACCTCCACCACCACCTCCACCACCTCCTCCTCGTGCTCCTCTTCCCCCGCCGCTCGCCGATCGCGATGCTCACGGCGGCCGTGGCCGCGTGGGCCGTGGCCGTGGCGACCCTCCCCGCCGCGGCCGAAGCTCGCGGAGCCCCTCGGCCTCACGGCGGCGGAAGAGGGAGCGGTTCCCGGCAGGGCTATCCGGTGCTCAACATCGCGGTGATCTACGCCGGTCGCTCTTCGCAGCTTCTCGACGTCAAGCACGTGCTGAGCGGCGGTCAGTTCCTCGACATGCCCATGGACGTGAACGTGGCGGTGACGCGCACGGTGAACGGAACGAATCCGCGGGACGTGATCATCCAGATCTGCGACGTGCTGTCGAGCGTGCGCCTACACGGCGTCGTTTTCGGTGATGAGACCGAGCGGGAGGCGCTCGCCCAGATCCTGGACTTTCTCTCGTCGCAGACGCTCATCCCGATCATCGGCATCAGAGGAGGTTCGGCCGTGGTCATGACTAAGAAGGTACGTTCTAGCAAAGGTTGTTGTTGGGTTTTTTACCCTTCTATCTGGCAACAGATAGAAGGGTAAAAAAAACAATTATCATATTTTTTCTGGAAAATGAGATTCCCATAGTGTAGATGCTTGCCCCGAGCTCTCATACTCTGATGGTGCATTGTCTTTGAGTTGTACGCCTTTTGGCGTCATCTGGTCCAACTCATGTGAGACTAGGCTCTAAGGAAAGCTGTCTCGGGTGTGGACCAATCAACTTCAAGGACAGTGCACACATTATCAGAGTTTTGTCTTTTGTTTGTATTATGACTGCAGGTATTGCGGTCTATGCAAACATGACTCCTTGTAAAAAGGTGTCAGTTTTGTTGCCAGATAGAAGTGTAAAAAACCAATTATCATATTTTTTCTGGAAAATGAGGTTCCCATAGTGTTGTTGTTGTGGTTGTTGTTGTTATATTCTTGGTTCTTTCGGTAAAGTCACGTAGAAGGGAGATAATACAATAATATAAATATAAAACAATAAAAATGCTCACGACGTTTCGACTGCAACGCAAGCAATCGTCATCAGGTGTGAAATCCACGGCAAGAAAATTTGAAAAAAGTGACGGTTTTTCCTGACTTCAGCACCAAGGACAGCAATTTGGCAGTTTGCCAGATAGACGAGTCCATCTATGTCACCGGTGTTGGTGGCCGTGAGCAGGAATTGAACTCGGCTCGCCAGGTTCGTAGCGCAGCATAGCGCTAACCGCTACACCACCGCTCCCCCCCCATCAACAACTGCCATTCGCCACTGAGTGGCGGTGACGTCACCACGACGCTTGTGCCAGGCTATGTGCACCTTGAGGCTACCACGTGAAGTGTCGAACGCCCGCTGGCAAGAGGTCACGGGGCAGACCCAGCAGGTGCCACGGGTCGACTGACTGAGATGACCTAGATGACTGGCTGATGCACCAACTGTGCCCCCGACTGTGCCAACTTGCTGTGCTTTAGCCATCCGGCGCTCTGCTCGTTGTTGTGAGCGTCGCTCCTCCGCCCTCCCACACACACGCACACACGTGACCTTCGCTCCGACACCCACCCCCCTCCCAACCCCCCCGCATCTTGGTCAGGAGGAAGAATCCATCTTCCTGCAGTTCGGTGCCACTGTCCAGCAGCAGTCGCGCGTCATCATGCGCATCATGGAGGAGTACGACTGGCACAGTTTCTCGGTGGTCACGTCGCACTACACGGGCTACCAGGACTTCATCTACCACCTGCACGTCACGGTGGAGAGCAGCTACGTCGGCTGGCACCTCGACCGCATCATCCCCCTCGATCTGCTCGACCGCGACAGCGACGACCAGATTAAGGCGAAGTTGCGCAGCATTCAGACCCAGGTGGTCGTCCTCTACTGCTCGATGGCCGAGGCGGAGTATTTGTTCCGCGTCGCCGAGACCGTGGGTCTCACCGGTTTCGGCTACGTGTGGATCGTGCCGGGCCTGCGTTGGTCCGAGTCGGAGCGACGGCCCCCGGGACACTTCCCGACGGGCATGGTGACGATCTCGTACGACGACGAGCGGCGAGGGCTCGCGCATCGCGCCATGGAAGGGGTGGCCGTCGTGGCCACGGCAGCCTTCAACATGTTCGTCGAGTTCGGCTTCATCCCCGAGTCGAAGCTCAACTGCAACAACACCAACGCCTTCAACAGTACCCTCTGGAGCACCTTCTACAGGTGCGTAGCGGTGGGGGGAGGGGGGGAGGGGGGAGTGGGAGGGGAACGGGGGGGGCGGTGGGAGGGGGCGATGGGGGGGGGAAGGTGGGAGGGGGTTGGGGGAGGGGGCGGTGGGAGGGAGGTTGTGAAAGGGGGGGGGGGAAGGTGGGAGTGGGTGGTGGGCGGGAGTTGGTGAAGGGGGGGGGGGGAATGGGAGAGGGTGGTTGGGGGGGGGGCGGTGGTGAGCGCGGTGGGAGGTGGGGGGGGGCGGTGGGAGAGAGTCGGTAGGAGGGGGTGGTGGGAGGTGGGGGCGGTGGGGGGGGCCGGTGGGGGGGGGGCGGTGGGAGGTGGGGGGGGAGCTATGGGAGAGAGTCGGTGGAGGGGGCGGTGGGAGGTGGGGGCGGTGGGGGGGGGGCGGTGGGAGGTGGAGGCGATGGGGGGGCGGTTGATGGAGATGGTGAGGAGGGGCGGTGAGAGGGGGTGGTGGGTGGGAGTTGGTGAAGGGGGGGTGGTTGGGGGGGGCGGTGGTGGGGCGTGGTGGGAGGTGGGGGGAGCGGTGGGAGAGAGTCGATTGAGGGTGCGGTGGGGAGCTGTGGGAGGGGGTCTGTGGGGGGGGGGGAGGTGTTGGGGGGGGGGCGTGTGGAGGGGCGGTGGGGGGGATTGTGGTGACAGCGGCAGCAGCATCGCACCTCCCTGAGTGACAGCTCGACAAAGTCTCCTACCGTGTGCACATTTAGCGCAGCAAAAAAAAGCCGATCTAAACCATCTACGTGCACGTTTCTAAATGTCGATGGGGTGGGTGGGGGGGGGAGAGAAACCCGGAGGACCACGGACAAGAGATCCTCCGTAGAAAAACGAAAACATTACCCGCACATTGCAATTGTTAATTTCTTCCCGCAGTCTTTAAGTCGGTTCATATTCTTAGGTTTTTTCCGGTAAAGTCACGTAGGTAAAACATTAAAAAGTAAAATAAAATACTCACCCCATGCCTCCGAAACGTCGTGATTTTTATTTTTTATTTTTTTATTTTATTTTACTTTTTAATGTTTTACCTACGTGACTTTACCGAAAAAACCTAAGAATATGAATCCTTGCGGTCACGAAAGCTTCAAATCTAGAATTTTTAAGTCGGCTTTCCTCGTCTGCGCTGATGAAATCAAGTTCCCGTGTCCACGGGCCCCATTCCATCGTAGCCTCGAATATGCCCGAACGGTAGCGCCATCGGACTGGGCTGGGATAATTATGAGGATGATGAGCATGATGAGTAGGAGGAGGAGTAAGGGGGGGGGGGTGGATGAAGGATTTATGAGCGGTGTCAAACTTCCAGGCGGTACGCTCACGATACAAAATAAATAAGTATAACCAGTAAAAACAAAGTTTTTCACTATAAATCCTTTATATGCGTGGCGGCTAGAGTCCTCTCGTCCTCTGGCTTGAGATGGCTGCCACCTATGGGTCAGATGATTGCATGGCACCATTAAGCAATTGGTAATTAAATCTAATATTTTTGTCCTAAAAAGTGTAAAATTTTGGAAAACATGTTTCACGAACATTAATTGTCACGCACGAGTCTGTGTGCAAAATGTCAGCTCGATTGGATCACGGGAAGTGGGTTAAAAAACGACCGAAAGATTTGCACGGTCGTAAGCAAGCAAGCGAACTTATTATAAAGGATTTAAAAATGAAATTAACTGCGGTCGATACTTGGCCGCAATGGCTCTTCGTCGTCCCGTACAACTTGAAGTTTGTTTCATTTCATCTTCTTGGTTCTTTCGGTAAAGTTACGTAGAATGAAAATAATAAAATAATAAAAATAAAACATAATAAAATAATTCTCACGACGTTTCGGCCACAACGCAAGCAGCCGTCCTTATGCTGCTTGCGTTGTGGCCGAAACGTCGTGAGAATTATTTTATTATGTTTTATTTTTATTATTTTATTATTTCCCTTCTACGTGACTTTACCGAAAGAACCAAGAAGATGAATCCCTGCAGTCACGAAAGCTTTAATTGAAATTTGTTTCATTTCGTCCACGGACGATGATGCTGATGGAGGTGCAGTTCAAGCAGTTTCCCTGGCTACTTTACACATTGGAGATCCGTTGTGCTGCGTAAAGAAAGTTCAAAGTTAATTGATTAGGTATAGCCCTGTGAGCCATTCGGCTCTTGAATCGGGTGCAACCGCAACAAACAAAAAACAAAAACAGGAACAATAAAACAAGTGACTATGTCAAACAGCTGCAAAGGACAAGATCGTAGAAACTCGTGGGCTGGGCTACGTGATCCAGAAGTTATCTGGTTCCAAACGCCGCCAGGAGCCAAACTCATGAAGTTAGAAGGGCTCCCAACATCGCCACTGCGGCAGCAGCCTCCTGTTCTTATGTCTGTGATTACCTTTGATGGCTGCACAAAGATAAAGATCCCCCCCACCCCCGTATAGCCTGAGTAGACTGTTGGGGCAAGTGCTGTTCGCGACGAGCACCTAACGAAGGCCGGCACGGCAACACTAAGATGATCGGTAGGCCGGCTCCTCACCCGGTACTCATTTGAGGCTGAGTCGACCTAGGGGAGGCCCAGGAGCGGCTCACACAATCGCCACTGGCGCCGGCCGCGAGCGGTGTCCGAACTCGGCGCGTCGAGTTCGTGTCACGTGCAAGAAAGTGCAGCACGCGAGCCGCTACACAACACGCGTGTGTGTGTGTGTCTGTGTGTGTGTCTGTGTGTGTGTGTTTGTGTGCGTGCGTGTGTGTCTGTGTGTGTGTCTGTGTGTGTGTGTCTGTGTGTGTGTCTGTGTGTGTGTGTCTGTGTGTGTGTGTGTCTGTGTGTGTCTGTGTGCGTGTGTCTGTGTGCGTGCGTGTGTCTGTGTGTGTCTGTGTGCGTGTGTCTGTGTGCGTGTGTCTGTGCGTGTGTCTGCGTGTGTGTGTCTGTGTGTATGTCTGTGTGCGTGTGTCTGTGTGTGTGTCTGTGTGCGTGTGTCTGTGTGCGTGTGTCTGTGTGTGTGTCTGTGTGTGTCTGTGTGTCTGTGTGTGTGTGTCTGTGTGCGTGTGTCTGTGTGTGTGTCTCTGTGTGTATGTGTGTCTTTGTGTGTGTCTGTGCGTGTGTCTGCGTGTGTGTGTCTGTGTGTGTGTCTGTGTGTATGTCTGTGTGCGTGTGTCTGTGTGTCTGTGTGTGTGCGTGTGTCTGTGTGCGTGTGTCTGTGTGTGTGTGTCTCTGTGTGTGTCTGTGTGTCTGTGTGTGTGTGTCTGTGTGCGTGTGTGTTTCTGTGTGTCTGTGTGTGTGTGTCTGTGTGCGTGTGTCTGTGTGCGTGTGTCTGTGTGTGTCTGTGTGCGTGTGTCTGTGTGTGTGTTTGTGTGCGTGTGTCTGTGTGTGTCTGTCTGTGTGTGTGTCTGTCTGTGTGTGTCTGTGTGTCTGTGTTTGTGTGTGTGCGTGTGTCTGTGTGCGTGTGTCTGTGTGTGTTTGTGTGTGTGTCTTTGTGTCTGTGTGTGTGTCTGTGTGTGTGTCTGTGTCTGTGTGCGTGTGTCTGTGTGCGTGCGTGTGTCTGTGTGCGTGTGTCTGTGTGTGCGTGCGTGTGTCTGTGTGCGTGTGTCTGTGTACGTGTGTCTGTGTGTGCGCGCGTGTGTCTGTGTGCGTGTGTCTGTGTACGTGTGTCTGTGTGCGTGTGTTTGTGTGCGTGTGTTTGTGTGCGTGTGTCTGTGTGTGTGTGTCTGTGTGCGTGTGTCTGTGTACGTGTGTCTGTGTGTGCGTGCGTGTGTCTGTGTGCGTGTGTCTGTGTACGTGTGTCTGTGTGCGTGTGTTTGTGTGCGTGTGTTTGTGTGTATATTAGTGGGGAGCGCTAGTGTAGTGGTTAGCGCTACGCTGCGCTACGAACCCAGCGATCCGGGTTCGATTCCCGCTCACGGCCAACACCAGTGACGATTATCTGAACCGGTCCTGGGCCTCCCCTAGGTCGACTCAGCCACAAACGAGTACCCTGGCGCGGTGTGTAGTAAACATCACCACTGGGGAGACAAAGGCGGCCGGGCGTGGTGCCTTCATATGTACTGCTCGCTTAACAGCACTTGCCCCTACAGTCTGTTGCAGGCTACAGGGTGGGTGGGGTGGGGGGTCTTTGTCTTGTTTTGCGTTATCTAACACTCGGCCGGTGTTTAACATTTCATTACAATTCAGGGCGCAACCGCCGGAGACGCCGGGGTTTGTGTTGACACACCGCCGCTAATGTGGCGTGTCCGCGTGGCCCTCTTTGTTATCGGGCCTTCATAATTTCCACGCTTCTTGGTGCCGCGAGAAAAAATGGGGGGTGGGTGGGGGGGTGGGAGAACGAATTTATTTCCGTATATATATTTTATATTTTTTTGGTGCGTGTGTGTTGTGTTGTTGTGTTACATCGCTCGCATGAAAGGCCGAAATGCCACGATTGCAAGTTTGTTACGCTACAGAAAGAGAGAGAGAAAATGATGTTTCGCTCGGAACTTTCACGGCGTTTCAAGGGCGCGCGGGCCGGGGGGTGGTGGGGGATGAGGGGGGGGGGCAGAGGTGGGGGTAGTGAGGAAAGAAGAACCATGCCTGCGCATGGGTTCTGAACAGTTTCTCCCGGTGTTCAATCAGGACGAGTCCCTTTGATCGCAACGCAATTTCGTACCAAAATCTCTTTTGTAATTGGATCGTCGCTGCGAGTGTCACGTGGGTGTGGGGGGGGGTTGGGGCTGCCCTCCAGTTACGGACGGACGGAACAGATGCGTTGCAAATCTTTAGTAGTTGCCCCGTGAACCGATGACCTTTGGGATTTGGAGCCCAGCGCGCCTGCTGACCGCTTTCACCGACTGTGGCGGCGTCGAGGAGATGTTGACTATCTCGTCTCGTATGCAGGAGGTCGTGGGTTCGATCCCAACTCTGACGATGCCTGTTGTATGTTTAGACTTAGCGTGTTTCTGTCTCATCATCATTACGGTGGCTAGATGTTGACTACATCACCTGGTATACAGGAGGTGGTGGGTTCGATCCCGACCCAGATGACGCCTGCTGCTGTATATTTGGAGTTTACGTGTCTCTCTATCATCATCATCACGATAGCTAGGAGATGTTGACTACATCACTTGGTATGCAGGAAGTCGTTGGTTCGATCCAAACTCTGACGACGCCTGTTGTATATTTGGAGTTTGCGTGTCTCTCATCATTATTACGGTGGCTAGGAGATATTAACTACCTCGCCTGGTATGCGGGAAGTCGTGGGTTCGATCCCGACCCTGATGCCTGCTGCTGTATATTTGGAATTTGCGTGTCTCTCATCATCATCACGCTGGCTAGGAGATGTTAACTACCTCGCCTGGTAGGCAGGAGGTCGTGGGTTCGATCCCGACCCTGATGCCTGCTGCTGTATATTTGGAGTTTGTGTGTCTCTCTCTCTCATCATCATCACGATAGCTAGGAGATGTTAACTACCTCGCCTGGTATGCAGGAGGTGGTGGGTTCGATCCCGACCCTGATGCCTGCTGCTGTATATTTGGAGTTTGTGTGTCTCTCTCTCTCATCATCATCACGCTGGCTAGGAGATGTTAACTACCTCGCCTGGTATGAAGGAGGTGGTGGGTTCGATCCCGACCCTGATGCCTGTTGCTGTATATTTGGAGTTAGTGTGCCTCTCTCTCATCATCATCACGATAGCTAGGAGATGTTAACTACCTCGCCTGGTATGCAGGGGTTCGTGGGTTCGATCCCGACCCAGACGACGCCTGCTGTGTATTTGGAGTTTGCGTGTCTCTCCCCCCCCCCCACCGTCCCACCGTGGTCGCGTCGATTTTTTCTCCGGGTCCTCTGGGTTTTCCCGAGTTCATTTGACTGCTGCTATGGATGCCCACGCGATGACTCTAAGCCCGCTTCGTTGAGCTATAATTTGTTTTGGCCGGAGTTGCTTCTGCAAAAAGAGCTGAGTCGCTCAGAGAGGCATTTAATTACACTGGTCAACAACAAAAAACATTTTTTTCTGGCCTGGACTTTTGCAGCTGTTTTAGACTAGTTTCAGGGTGCTGATTCCAAATCTGATTTGCTCTATCACATCTCATTTTTATGCTATCGGCATACCCCATTTTCATTGATTTTACCCGAAATTAACTCTGTCACTTATGATTGCAAGTTGTTGCGAGTCAGTGACTGCTTTAGTGTTAAAATACGGTGCTGTATTTTTAGAATAGTATGTTTATAATATAATTTTATGCAGATATCCACATTTATTTAATATTTTTCTTCTGCAGTTTTTTTATTGAAAATACAATATTTGGTATCTCAAAAACCTGATGTGATAGACAAAAACTGATACCAGATTTGGAATCAGCACCCCAAAATTACCTTAAAACCGTTGGAATACCTTATGCCAGAAAAAGTGTGTTGACCAGTGTTAGTCAAACAAACACAGTTTCGTTTAAAAATATAGTTTCGTTCAAATCGCTGTCTTCTTTGTATCTATTCTAGATTTGAAGTTTTTGTGACTGCAAGGATTCATATTCTTAGGTTTTTTTCGGTAAAGTCACGTAGGTAAAAAATTTAAATTAAAATTAATAAAAGTAAAATAAAATAAAAATCACGACGTTTCGATTGCAACACAAGCAATCATCGTCAGGTATAAATGAAATAGCAACAAAAAATTCTAACCAGAAAAACTATAGACAGACATATCAGCAGACTATAGACAGACATATCATCACCAAGATACATAGAGAGAGAGAGTGACACAGGTACAGAGAGGGAGATCGTCTCTGTGGAGTGGCATTCATATCGAGCCTCTCGTCTTTAATCGAATCGCAATCCCAAGAGGGCTCACTGCGGTACGTTCAATAGCGAAGGCGTAACGACTCTTACCGGAGATCTACATTTTCAGCGCTGCGTATTCCCAATGGACCTCTTTTGCCGGAGGAGAAAAAGACCCCCACCCCCCCCCACCTACAACTCACACCCACAGGGCCCTAATGCTAATGATGTCATCAAAGATAATGACCTTTTAATGCAGAGGAACCCACCGGCAGGTGTGAAAGGTCGAATCCACGCGTCACGAGATCGTGGGTTTAAGATAAACAACGATAAGTCACCGCGGAAGGCAGCGTCGTTGAGCTCCTCGTGTGATGAATATTGAGCGTGCGATTGATCGGTCGACTTTAAAAAAAAAAACCAAAAAAAATTCGCGGGACTAGATGGGCCGACGATATGTCTCCTTTGTATAGTGAACATTTATATCGCTCCGCGTCGCAAAAAAAAACACTATTCAAAGTAACGTCGATATAACAATAACATAATAATAAAACATGCTAGTCTTTAATTGTTCTATCTACATTTTTTTTATTTTGATTTAAAGCTTTCCTGGCTGCAGGGATTTATATTCTTGTTTTTTTTCGGTAAAGTCACGTAGAAGGGAAATAATAAAATAATATAAATATAAAACAATATTTGACTAATTTATTATTTTATTATTTTATTACTTTCCTTCTACGTGACTTTACCGAAAGAACCAATAATATTATTTTATTGTGATATCTACGTGACTTTACCGATTAGACCCAAAGAATATGAGTTCCTGCAGTCACTAAAGCTTTAAGTCAAGATTAATTCAAAGTAAACTAAATTATATTTACTATCAGCTATTTTATTTTATTTTGGCAGCTATGAAGCTCTTTTTCAAACCTGGCCACCACAAATGATAGCCACACTCTGTGTGTCTATGTTGAGTGTCTCTCTCTGTGTGTCTCTGTGTTGTCTCTCTCTGTGTGTCTATGTTGTGTGTGTCTCTCTCTTTGTGTCTCTGTGTGTGTGTCTCTCTCTGTGTCGCTGTGTGTGTCTCTCTGTGTGTCTCTCTCTGTGTGTCTATGTGTGTCTCTCTCTCTGCTTGTGTGTCTGTCTGTGTGTCTCCGTGTTGTCTCTCTCTGTGTGTCTATGTTGTGTGTGTGTCTCTCTCTCTCTGTGTGTCTCTGTGTGTGTCTCTGTGTGTGTCTCTCTCTGTGTCTCTGTATGTGTCTCTCTCTCTGTGTGTCTCTCTCTGTGTCTCTGTGTGTCTCTGTGTGTGTCTCTCCCTGTGTGTCTCTGTGTGTGTCTCTCTCTGCTTGTGTGTCTGTCTGTGTGTCTCCACGTCTGTGTTTTGTCTCTCTCTCTCAAATCTAGTTCTACCTGATAACGACTGCTTGTGTTGCAATCGAAACGTCGCATTCTATCATTTTTTTTTTCGGCGTGACTTTACCGAAAGTCCCAAAGAACACTCCCTCCGATAATTATTGCAGCAGCGGCTGCTTCCAGCGTCCGGCCTCAACAGCCCTGCATGGCGCTCATCGTCAAACTCTTCCGTCTGCCCTCTGCGTAGGTGCCTGCGGAATATCACGTGGAGAGGCAGAGACCTCTCCTTCAACAGCAACGGATACCTGGAGAAGCCGTCCATGACGGTGATGGCCCTCAACAACGAGCGCGTGTGGGAGAAGGTGAGAGCGAGCGAGCGAGCGTTTGTGATGGAACTTTCTTCGCACCGTACGTAACCAACCGTGCTTCGGCCGGAGCGGCGGTGTCACGTTCAGCGCCACGCTGCGCTACGAACCCGGCGACCCGAGTTCGATTCCCGCTCACGGACAACGCCGGTGACGATTATCTGAACCGGTCATTGGGCCTTCCCCTAGGTCGACTCGGCCTCAAATGGGTACTTAATGCGGGGTGTGTATTTATGGCACCTGGAAACGTCGTGATCTATTATTTTTCTACCTACGTGACTTTAACGAAAGACCCACATCGTATAAATGTAACGTTTGTACAGCCATACCTTGACTTTCGTCAACTTGATTTTCGTCGCTTTGCTCTCTAGGCCGTTTTCAAATTGTAACCACATTTCAAATTTCCTATTTCAAATTGTAACCACATTTCAAATTTCGTCCACGCGGCTTTTCTCTTTCGTCCGATTTCATCCACAAACTTACCACCAAGTTCGCGCCACGCGCCCCATTTTTCGTTCAGCCTTTGAATAGAAGTCGTTGAGTGAGCATCTCTTATAATTTGTGTTTATTCATATATTATTAATACTGTACTTTTTAAAATTTTATTTTCTACCTACGTGACTTTACCGAACGAACCAAAGAGGATGATTCCTGCAGTCACGAAAGCTTCAAATCCAGATTGAATCCTGTACTTATTTCTGCGATTATACTGTAAACAATTCACAGTTATTTTTGTGATAACAAGCTCTGCTTTTTGATTTAAAGCTTTCGTGACTGCAGGGATTCACATTCTTGGTTCTTTCGGTAAAGTCACGTAGAAGGGAAATAATAAAATAATATAAAACAATAAAAATTCTCAGGACGTTTCGACTGCAACGCAAGCAATCATCATCAGGTGTGAAATCCACAGCAAGAAAATTTGATGATGATTGCTTGTGTTGCAGTCGAAACGTCGTGAGAATTTTGATTGTTTTATATTATTTTATTATTTCCCTTCTACGTGACTTTACCGAAAGAACCAAGAATATAGAAGCTCTGCTTTGACATTCTTCCATTTTTGAAAATTCGTGTCGCTTCAAAAAGTAAAATAGTCTCCCACTTACATCATTAGGCCTCCTTTGCCAGTACCAAAATATAATAATATGAGTTTTTCCCCTTTTTTCTGGCAACAAAACTGAAACCTTTTTACAATTATTCATGTGGTGCATTAACCACAATACTTGCAGTCAAAATGCAAATAAAAAACAAACTCTGATAACACTGGTCAACACACTTTTTCTGGCATAAGGTATTCCAACGGTTTTAAGGTAATTTTGGGGTGCTGATTCCAAATCTGGCATCAGTTTTTGTCTATCACATCAGGTTTTTGAGATATCAAATATTCCATTTTCAATAAAAACTGCAGAAGAAAAATATTAAATAAATGTGGATATCTACATAAAATGATATTATAAACACACTAGCCTAAAAATACAGCACCATATTTTAACACTAAAGCAGTCACTGACTCGCAACAACTTGCAATCATAAGTGACGGAGTTAATTTTGGGTAAAATCAATGAAAATGGGGTATGCCGATAGCATAGAAATGTGATAGAGCAAATCTGAGATCAGATTTGGAATCAGCACCCTGAAATTAGTCTAAAACAGCTGCAAAAGTCCAGGCCAGAATATTTTTTTTTGTTGACCGGTGTAATATATGCATTTTCCTTGAAACTGATTGGTCCACACCAAGGAACGGCTTTCTTTTGGGCCTCGACCCAATTGGGGATCGACCAGAGGACGCCAAAAGGCGCACAGCTCAACGACAATGCCACCATCAAAGTAATGAGGGCTCGGGGTGAGCATCTACATCATTATTGCACTTTGACTGCAAGTATTGTGGTTAATGCAGACATGAATCCTTGTAAAACGGTTCCAGTTTTGTTGCCAGAAAAAAGGGAAAACCCCTCTTATTAGTCTCCCACTTGTTCGCCATCAGGAGCCCGCAGGCAGCACATTTCTTGTGGTTATTATTGCAAATTCTCCGAAGTGTTAACATTATTTTGAAGCACCCCCCCCCCCGTCTCCGTATTTTCCCTTAGCCAATCGCTGTCCTTTGCCTTCTAACGGATTCCCAATCGTCGCCTCTGGGTTCCGCTCTGTGCCCTGCCCATTCTCGTTCACACCTTATCATCCAATCACTTTAAAAGCCCTGTCTCCTGACCAATCCCTGTGGAGGCCTCTTTCCACCAATCAGAGAACCTGTTGTATCACGTAGGCTTTCGCGACCAATATCATCCATAATAGAGTGTTTTTTGGGTTAGATCGTCGTACTCAGATTGTAAATGTTGTGGCTTGGCTCTCCAACACACTGGTGTGTTGTACTAGTATACTGTACTATACACTACATTATACACTACACTATAGACTACACTATACACTACACTATACACTACTGTACAATACACTATATACTACACTACTATACACTACACTACTATACACTACACTACTATACACTACTATACACTACACTACTATACACTACACTTTACACTACACTATACACTACTATACAATACACTATACACTACACTACTATACACTACACAACTATACACTACACTATACATCATCATCATCATGGCTTGGCTTCGCGAACGAAGATCTAGGAAGGACATCCACGTCTTCTGCAGGCACGCTGGTGGCTGAAGAGGCCTATGCGGGACAGGCAGGTCCTGCCACAACAGCTGCAAGTGAAGGTCTCATCTGGGATGGGTGCTGAGGGATCACGGTTCTTCCTCCTTCTCCTTTTGTCCTCCATACGGGCCCTGCGGGTATCTTCGAAGAAGGAGGTGGCCTGGTGGACTGTGTGCCGCCAGGAGTTGCGATCAGCTGCTTGTGTTGCCCACTGACGGTGATCGATGCAGCAAGCAGTGAGGGACTTCTTCAGGGAGTCTTTGTATCGCTTTCGTGGTGCCCCTATGTCGCGATGGCCAGAGGACAGTTCCCCATACAGCACAATCTTAGGCAAGCGGTGGTTCTCCATCCTGGCGATGTGCCCTGCCCAACGAAGCTGTGTCTTGAGGACCATGGCCTCGATGCTGATGACCTTCGCTGACTTGAGGACTTCAGTGTTGGCGACGAAGTCACTCCAGTGAATATTGAAGATTGTGCGGAGGCAGCGCTGATGGAAACGCTCGAGGAGACTCAGGTGACGACGGTACGTGACCCATGACTCAGCGCCATACAGGAGAGTGGTTAGCACAACAGCTTTGTAGACGTTCACCTTTGTGGCTCTTTTAAGGTTTCTGTTGTTCCAGACACGTTTGTATAGTCTGCCAAATGCACTGTTTGCCTTGGCCAGCCTGTTGTCGACTTCGTTGTCGATCTTGGCATCAGACGAGATGACGCACCCCAAGTAGCTGAACTGGTGGACAGCTTTCAGTTCTGTTTGTTCAATGAAGATGCTTGGTGGATGGTGCTCCTCCTGGGGTGCGGACTGATGAAGAACTTCAGTCTTCCTCAGGCTGACTTCAAGGCCGAAGATCTGAGCTGTTTTCGCGAAACAGGACGTAATTCGCTGCATAGCTGCCTCTGTATGAGCAAGGAGGGCGGCATCGTCAGCAAAAAGCAGCTCCCTGATCAGTTGCTCCATGGTCTTTGTGTGGGCCTGCAAACGCCTCAGGTTGAACACGCTCCCGTCGAGACGAAAACGGATGTATATGCCATCAGCGTCGTCGAGGTCCTCTGTGACCTGCTGGAGCATCATGCTGAACAAAATGGTGAACAGCGTGGGAGCAAGAACACAGCCCTGTTTCACGCCGTTTGCAATAGGGAAGGGCTGCGAGAGATTGTTGCTATGTCTGACTTGTCCAAGCTGGTCTTCATGAAGCTGGACGATCATGGTGAGGAACTTCGGTGGGCAGCCTAGCTTGTCCAGGATTTTCCAAAGTCCCTGCCTGCTCACGGTGTCAAACGCTTTTGTCAGGTCCACAAAGGTGACGTACAGTGCTTTGTTTTGCTCCCGGCACTTTTCCTGAATCTGCCTCAGGACAAACACCATGTCTGTGGTTCCCCGGTTGGCTCTAAAGCCACACTGGGTCTCTGGGAGGTGATCTTCAGCTATTGCGGGTACCAGTCTATTCAGCAGTACTCTTGCGAGGATTTTGCCGGCGACGGACAGAAGTGTTATGCCACGATAATTGGAACAGTCTGATTTCTCCCCTTTGTTCTTGTACAGGGTGATGATGACTGCATCTTTGAGATCTTGAGGGAGTTTACCCTGCTCCCAGCAGCAGACGAAGAATTCATGGAGTTTGGTGTGCAATGCTGGGCCTCCGTTCTTCCATACTTCAGGAGGGATGCCATCGACTCCTGCAGCTTTACCACTCTTCAGCTGTTTAATGGCTTCCTCAGTCTCTTGTAATGTTGGTGCCACATCCAGTTCGGTTTTCACTGGTTGTTGTGGGATGCGGTCAATCGCTGGTTCTTGGACTGAGCGGCTAGCATTGAAGAGCGTGTAGAAGTGCTCAGACCAGCGGTTCAGGATTGAGTCCTTTTCAGTGAGCAGTTTGTTCCCGTCTGCACTCCGCAGGGGGCTCAGGATTTGGTACGAGGGGCCATATACCGCTTTTAGGGCTTCGTAGAATCCCCTGTAGTCGCCAGTATCAGCGCAAACCTGAGTTTTTACTGCGAGGTTGGTCCACCACTCGTTCTGAATCTCTCGAAGCTTGCGCTGGATGGTGCTGCATTCCAGGCGGAAGGCTGCTTTTTTGTGCGGGCAGGATGGTCGGGCCAGGTGGGCCTGGTGTGCTGATCTCTTCTTTGACAGCAGCTCCTGGACTTCTAAGTTGTTCTCATCGAACCAATCTCTGTTTTTCTTCGTGGAGAATCCGAGGGTATCTTCAGATGTTTGCAGAACAACAGTTTTGATGCGGTCCCACAGCACTTCAGGAATCGGAGGCGAGTCTCCTAGGCAGCTCGGTTCCTCTAGCCTAGATCGTAGGCTTTTCTGGAAAGCTGCTTTGACCACGGCAGACTGAAGGCTGCAGACTTTGAGCTTCTTCCTCGGGGCGCCACCGTTTCTTGGTCTGGGTTTAAAGTGAAAGCTGAGTTTGCAGCGGACAAGACGGTGGTCTGTGTGACACTCGGCGCTGGGCATTACCCTGGTGTGAAAGACATCTTTTAGGTCACGCTGGCGCACAAGGATGTAGTCTATGAGATGCCAATGTTTTGACCGAGGGTGCATCCAGGTTGTTTTCAGACTGTCTTTCTGCTGGAAGATGGTGTTGGTAATGGAAAGCTGCTGTTCCGCACAGAGTTCAAGTAACAAGCGTCCATTGTCGTTGCAGCTGCCCACACCGTGCCTTCCAAGTACGCCTTTCCAGGTTTCCGAGTCTCTGCCCACTCTGGCGTTGAAGTCGCCAAGGATGACAATCTTGTCGTCAGCTGGGATATCCTGCAGAAGGCTGCGTAGGTCGGAGTAAAACTTGTCTTTATCAGCGGGATCTGCCTGGAGAGTTGGAGCGTACACACTGAGCAGCGTTGCGTGTTGCTGGTCACGAAGTGGTAGACGCATTGAGATGATGCGGTCAGAGTGACCAGTTGGCAGGCTTGCAAGCTTGGTAGCGATAGAGTCCCTGATCATGAAGCCGACACCTGAACGGCGTCTCTCTGTCGCTGGTTTGCCTGACCAGTAGAGAGTGTAACCTGCGCCATGCTCCCTCAGACTCCCTTCCACTACACTATACACTACACTATACACTACACTATACACTACTATACAATACACTATACACTACTATACACTACATAACTATACACTACACTACTATACACTACACTACTATACACTACACTATACACTACACTACACTACTATACACTACACTATACACTACACTACTATACAATACACTATACACTACACTACTATACACTACACTACTATACACTACACTATACACTACACTATACACTACACTACTATACAATACACTATACACTACACAACTATACACTACACTACTGTACACTACACTACTATACACTATACACTACACTACTATACACTACACTACTATACACTACACTATACACTACACTACTATACACTACACAACTATACACTACACAACTATACACTACACTGCTATACACTATATTACTATACAATACACAACTCTACACTACACTATACACTACACTATACACTACTGCTGTACTCGTGACGAATTGGCCACGTTCTGTTTACGTGACAACCATCACTAGTTGGCCGTGTCAGCTGGCGGCGGGTTTTAACAACACATTTATATATTTACACGATCTAATCCCCCCCCGCAAAAAAAACCTCTATGACCCTGGTATATTTTTGAATAGCCGTTGGGCTGCACGCTGGCTGGGTGTCATTTTCAGTCATTGCATCCTGCACCGTGCACGCTACGAATGAAAGCCTCTCCACGTGCCGTTGTGCTTTTTTGTTCCAGGTGGCTTTTGCTGTTGCCACTTCTAAATGCCACCGTCTGGGATTCAGCAAAGCGTGCCGAAATGTATACGCAGCGAGTGAGGAAGCCGAACTTTAAAAATAATATCATTGTTACATTTCGATTTAAAGCTTTCGCGACTGCAGGGATTCATCTTCTTGGTTCTTTCGGTAAAGTCATCACGTAGAAGGGAAATAATAAAATAATAAAAATAAAACATAATAAAATACAATTCTCACGACGTTTCGGGCCACAACTCATTCAGACGCTGTCTTTCCGGCAGACCTGTTCTTCACCTGAGGACGGCTGCTTGCGTTGTGGCCAAAACGTCATGAGAATTATTTTATTATGTTTTATTTTTATTATTTTATTATTTCCCTTCTACGTGACTTTACCGAAAGTACCAAGAAGATGAATATCATTGTTATTTATTTTTAGTCTAGGATTCCACATTATACTCGCAGAGGCATTGACATTACCCGCTGGCTTTTCTTCTCGCGAGAGGAGCAGATTAGGGGAGATATGCGTCTGATGATATCTGCGGAAGGCAGCGATAATGAATGTGCTCCCGCAATTCCACCCATCCGCTGTTCTCACAGACTGAACTCCGGGGCCTAGATGCAACCCCTTATACACAATGAGGTGTGTGGTGTGTGTTGTGTCTATGCGCAAGCTTTGTGTGGTTTGTGTGTGCGTGTGTGTGCAGCAAGCTGGCACGGGAGAGACGTTAATTTCCTTCCCTGGTATACAGGAGGTTGTGGGTTCGATCCCAACCCTGACGCCTGTTTATTTGGTGTTTGCACGTTCTCCCCGTGGTCGTGTGAATTGTCTCTGGGCCCAGCAGCGGTCTTCCCCTCCACATTTCGAAACGTGCGCTTAGAGCAGCGGTCGGGAACCTATGGCTCGCGAGCCATATATGGCTCTTCCGGTGACGGCATATGGCTCCCAGACAATTTTGAGTTTAAAAAAATAATAATAAAAAAATAAAATCAGTTTGGAACTGATTTTAAAATACTTGTGATATTGCTTAATAATACTGTGTCATTTTAAAGTAAACAGAAATTAGTTTTGAAGATAAAATTTCTCGGGTCACGGGTCCCGTGACCAAAAGTCGCATTAAAAGTAAGACATTTAATTTATTACACGTTAAAAATACTATATGGCTGTCAATGAAATATATTTAGAAATATTTGGCTTTTATGGCTCTCCCAGTCAAAAATGTTCCCGACCCCTGGGTTAGAGTATTGGGCTGCGATGAATTTCCACGTGATAATAAAAATAATAGTTCAATTTGTAACGCGCGCAAATTTGCAGACGTAGTGGCCGCAACTCAGAGGCGCGGAGCCAAGCTCAGAGTCGCTCGAAAGCACGTGGTTTGTAGAGGTGAGTTAGTAAGTGTCTCTTGAAGGAGGCGAATGAGGTGTGATGCTGCGAATGTGCAGAGGGATGATATCGTTCCAGACTGTTGGGGCTGCCACCGAGAAGCGGTGCATAGACACGATGACCATCCTGGATCTTGGTATCAAGAGGAGGTCGTGAGTCGCGCTGCGCAGGCATCTGCCGTGTGCTGCGCTGCAAGTTGTCAATAATGAAGAGAGGTACGGCGGGCAGGCAGATATGAAGGCGTTGTGGCAGAGGCAGGCGGTCTTGTATGTGACCCTACTGGCGATGGGGAGCCAGTTGAGAGCGCGGAGACAGGCGAGTGAGTCGAGACGGGGTTGAGTGTGGGCAATGACGACGCGTGCCAGCAGGTTGTTTTGTAGTCTTTGAAGTTTCTTTAGATTGCCAGCGGAGGTCCGGACTACATTTAGAAACGTGCGCTTAGAGCAGGGGTCGAGAACCTTTTTGACTGGGAGAGCCATAAAAGCCAAATATTTCTAAATATATTTCATTGAGAGCCGTATAGTATTTTTAACGTATAATAAATTAAATACGTCTTACTTTTAATGCGACTTCTGGTGCTGCGTAGTTTTGCTGATGGCCTTGTAGTCTGGTTCATACGTGGTGAGGTTGAGCTTCGTGCAGGCGTGACCCGTGACCCGTGAAATTTATCTTCAAAACTAATTTCTGTTTACTTTTAAATGACACAGTATTATTAAGCAATATCACAAGTATTTTAAAATCAGTTCCAAACTGATTTTTTTTATTTTTTTTTAACTCAAAATTGCCTGGGAGCCATATGCCGTCAGCGGAAGAGCCATATATGGCTCTGTGTGTGTCTCTCTCTGTGTCTCTGTGTGTGTCTCTCTCTGTGTGTCTCTGTGTGTGTCTCTCTCTGTGTGTCTATGTTGTGTGTCTCTCTCTGTGTGTTTATGTTGTGTCTCTTTGTGTATCTCTGTGTTGTCTATCTGCTTGTGTGTCTCTCTCTCTGTGTTGTCTCTATCTGCTTGTGTGTCTCTCTCTGTGTGTCTATGTTGTGTCTCTTTGTGTGTGCCTCTCTCTGTGTGTCTCTGTGTGTGTCTCTCTCTGTGTGTCTCTGTGTGTCTCTGTGTGTGTCTCTCTCTGTGTGTCTATGTTTTGTGTCTCTCTCTGTGTGTCTCTGTGTGTGTCTCTCTCTGTGTGTCTATGTTGGGTGTCTCTCTCTATGTGTCTATGTTGTGTGTCTCTGTGTGTGTCTATGTTGTGTGTCTCTCTCTGTGTGTCTCTGTGTGAGTCTCTCTCTGTGTGTCTCTGTGTGTGTCTCTCTCTGTGTGTCTCTGTGTGTGTCTCTCTCTGTGTGTCTCTGTGTGTGTCTCTCTCTGTGTGTCTCTGTGTGTGTCTCTCTCTGTGTCTCTGTGTGTGTCTCTCTCTGTGTCTCTGTGTGTCTCTCTCTGTGTGTCTCTGTGTGCGTCTCTGTGTGTCTCTCTCTGTGTGTCTCTGTGTGTGTCTCTCTCTGTGTCTCTGTGTGTGTCTCTCTCTGTGTCTCTGTGTGTGTCTCTCTCTGTGTCTCTGTGTGTGTCTCTCTCTGTGTGTCTCTGTGTATGTCTCTCTCTGTGTCTCTGTGTGTCTCTCTCTGTGTGTGTCTCTGTGTGTGTCTCTCTCTGTGTGTCTCTGTGTGTGTCTCTCTCTGTGTGTCTATGTTGTGTGTCTCTCTCTCTGTGTCTCTGTGTGTGTCTCTCTCTGTGTGTCTCTGTGTGTGTCTCTCTCTGTGTCTCTGTGTGTGTCTCTCTCTGTGTGTCTCTGTGTGTGTCTCTCTCTGTGTCTCTGTGTGTGTCTTTCTCTGTGTGTCTCTGTGTGTCTCTCTCTGTGTGTCTCTGTGTGTGTCTTTCTCTGTGTGTCTCTGTGTGTCTCTCTCTGTGTGTCTCTGTGTGCGTCTCTGTGTGTGTCTCTCTCTGTGTCTATGTTTGTGTGTCTCGATGTGTGACGAGGGGGGTGGGTTGAGAAATATGAAGTCACATCAAAATGCACAACTTTAATTAAATATAGACAAGATGTTCTACTGAATTACATAGACTTTATGATACATGTTTTCTCCTACAACATCAGAGTGCAGCGCCACATTAAATACGCACTACAATGACAATAGTTTAAAGCGATATGAAGCATGTTTAATTTTTTTTGGGGGGGGGGGGGGCAGAGCTTTGTGACGTCATATTTTAGGGGAGGGGGTCTGACGTGGGGGGGGGGCAAAATCGCGTGACGTCATTTATGGACGGCCCCCCAAGGCTACACGGGGTATCTTTGCATTTGGCACAAGGATATTCTTCCCTTGTAGGCTTCAAAGAACGCTGGGCGAAGTGCATGTTAGCGAGCACCTTTGCATCCCTCGCACTGATGTTTACTACGCATCGCAGCTGGATAGAACGTTACTCATTTAAGACGGAGGGCAGCCTTGCCCGTCTGCTTGTCTGCGCTCTGCGTGCGCGCGTTCCGATAATTACATCCGCACGCGTCTCTAATTAATCCTCGGCTGGTTCCGTGCACACGCACGACCACACACACGCACACACGCACTAACACACGCACGAACACACACACACGCGCGCACACACACGCACGCACGAACACACACGCA